ACAAGCCCTGCAGGAGCCTGGATCCTGCTGAGGGCAGAACCATGCCCTCAGTTTTCTTACTTCAGGGAGCAATGGCTACTCAAAATGAGCACGTTGGGCCTCAAAGGGCTGTAGACTCTATCACGCAATACATCCGATGCAGAGTGTGCCCCTTCAGTTACTTCTGATTTTCCCGCCCCAGCCCTTCCTCAGAATGGTACCACTTAGCTCAAGGTGTGAGCAGTTAGAGTGGGGAGGTCTTGCTCCTGCTCACCTGTACGGGTCATCAAGTTTTCTGCTATTACCTCTTCTTCATTTCTGTTTGTCCCCTGTGTGTCTATGTCCTGCATGGACTGTGATTGTTCCAGATGTTTAGTGAGTCGGTAGGATCTGGCAGAAGAGCAATGTGTAGCAACAAGGGAAGTCAAACATATTTAAGCAGTTCAATCTGAGTAAGACATTTTCTTTTCCCTCATTTTTCTATTTTATTGAGGCAGTCAAAAAAACCTGGCTTGTCCATCCACATTTGCCTCAGACTCAGGGCACAAGGCTGTGAGTTTCTCTGTGGTACGAGTAATTTTGTTCTTTTGTTTTTACTGAACACAGTGAGGCTTATGCAGTACACTGGTGTTCTCCAGCCTGTGGGATAACTCACATCTATTTTAATCCCTTCTGAGGGGAAGACAAATTTTCTCAGCCTTCAGTGCGCAGTTTACACATCTGTACTTCTCATTACAAAATTGTGAGCTTCTGAGAAAATACGTTTTCTTTATCTGTAGGAAACTACCATTAAAAGGAAAAATGCTTTCTATCAGTAAGTCAACAATGTGGTCAGTGGTGCTTTCATACAGTCTGTTAGATTGTCACGTTCAGCCATCAGGTTCAAGGGAAACAGTGTTGAAACTAGAGGATGAAGGGAGCTGACTGGTGACTCCATCGATGACAATAGCACATAGGACCTCTTTGTTTGTTGCTCTGGAATGAAAGCATTGCTACCCAGTTAAAAGTCCTTTATTTATCACTTGGATGGCAGCTGGCAAGAAAGACTGAAAAAGCTGATTTAGCTGGGCAGCTCTGTGCCACATATAAACGGTAAAATACGCCGGCCAACTCAGTTGCACTGGGAATTCTTTTTGAATTAGCTGGCCTTTTTAAATTAAACTCAAGTTTGAAACTTATCTTCAGAAAATAGAAACTGGAAACTGGAGGCAGACTAGTATACAATAATTGGAAATGGCCTAACTTCAGTAAAACACTTGTGCCTGTTCTTAAGCCTGTTCTTCAGCGTTTTGCTGAAGACTTTGACTACTTAACGTTTCTTCTGCTGAAGAGATGATTTAGACAAATGGGGCTAAGGTCACATTTTTTTCCAAGTTAGTGGCAAAAATTCTACTAATTGCAGCCTGTAGAGTCAGGGTGCTTTATATAGTTTCTTCGGGCTTACAGAGTACAGACAACATTATTCAAGAACAATGTGAAAGTTATTATTTAATTAAGGATAGTTGTCCTTTAGCTGCAAAAGAGAGCCTATGCCAAGCACAATTGATAGAACTAATAAAAATTGGATGGGGAAAGCTATTCTTGTAATCTGCTTGCAATTGAAAAGTACTTCAGATAAAATAGAGCATCAAAGGACTAGCCTGAACCGAAAGGTCTTGGCTTGATGCTTAGATCAGTCATCCCTTTGTTTAGCACTTTGCACTACGTATCTATTATGAGAATGAGAAAAGCTTGTGACAAGTCTCTTAAACTGAGAAGCAGTCTCCCCACATGTAAGCTGCTATGGACAAATTTATTATAAGGGAACAGTACATCTTGCAGTGCTCTTTTGGGGCAGGATGATTTTCCCTAGCTGATGTGGAATCAGGCAACAATAGAGATTGCTGATTTCCAGTGCGTTCTTAAAATTTTCCTTCTTTGCTCTGGTTCAACTTGTGATCTCTCTACATAGAAAGGAGACTACTCCAAAAAGAAGAGAACTGGTGTGAAAAGGCATGTCCTTGAGAGGAATCTCTCTAAACTCTACTTTAGCCTTACTGCCCAGATCCCATGAATCTAAGATAATCTTGGTGAATGCGATCTAAGTTATATGAAGCATATATAGCTTATTATTTTAAATTAGGTGTCCCTGAAGCAGGCTACAGGCTGTTTGCACACTGCGAGATGTTTGGACACAGCTTATCCTTTTCATTTTCATATCCTTTTCTTCCTCCCCAAAAGATAAACACAAGCTTTAAAGCTGATCCTGAAGCATTTTGATACACATACAGTATAACTCAGAGGAAACTACAGAATGGAAGTAGTCAAAATGCCTTTATTAGAGAAAAGTGAACCACAGGTACAGAAGACATGAAACACCTTTGAGAAAGTAGCTATACATCGAGCACTGTGCCTCTACAGAAGTAGTGGGTATTTGAGGCTTCAGTGAAATTTTACTAGGGACTGTGGTGAACAAGGATATTTCAGTGCAAATGTGCTCCTGTACCACTAGTAGCTTCTTACCCAGGAGAAGCAGTGTCTCTGGATGGCTTCTGCAAGTAAGGTTGTTTCATGGCCACAGGACAGAAGGAATGAAGTGAAAGATGAGAATATACATTGTTTGGTGTAATTTAGAAGTGACCTTTCTCCATTCCCTGTTTCTGTTTTCTGTGTGTATTTGGAAATCTAAAGATGATCAGGGACTGGTTTTTTTTTAAATTAAAAACTTAGTTCTCTAATACATTACCAGATCATTTGTTATCAAGCTGTGGGATAAGACCAACATTTAATGACAAAATAAAAATAGTAAAAATTTTTGCTATATTGGTATTTTGCTAAGAAATTTATAATTCTACCATTTCAGAAAAAATCACTATTCTGCACTTTTTAGTGCTCCATACATGTCATTCAGAAATGGGATCTGAGCCAATTAAGTGCAGAGAAAGTGATACTTTTTTGAAGTTTGGCTAGAAGGAAAATTAATGTTTCCAATGAACTAATGCTCTTTGCAGCATTTCCTGCAAAGTATCACTGCCATTTGTCATTGTCCAGGACAAAAAATAGAAATGCTAAAACTCACTGTTTTTCAGAGTCTTAAAAAATCATCCATGCAAAATTTACATTAAACGTAAAAATGCTGGGGCCCTGACTCTAGACAGCAATTAGAGAAAAATAATTAAATGAGTTGCATTCTATTAATTTAGGCTTGTATCTTTTCAGTGACTTAGGCCACTGGACATTTAACATCTTTTGCTTAGACTGTGAATTTATGTGTGCGTTAGTCACTTTAGTGAACGGTGTGGTTTCATGCGCCAGTTTAACTGTTCTAAGAATACCTTGCTGCCCAAAGGGACAGTCATGCCTTTTTCCTGCTGGCTGATCTAACTGAAAGCTAATCCTGTGGGGAAAAAAAACACAAGAGAAGATTAAAATGTTC